CCAATTCGATTTCCCTCAACTACATGATACAGAACGTTCTTCCCTATATATACCTCGTCTTTATTCACTTTGCGTTGCGTTATTACCTTCAGCACACTATGAACCAACTAGCCAAACAACATGTCTCATTATCATACAGAACTTGCTTCCGAACACTTTCGCATAGCCGGCATCCATAACTTTCCCTTACAGTTTTGTTTCTGTCAAAGTACACAGCGTGCATCCCACGACCCGGAGCGACGAGAAATGTATAGGACCGCGCGAGGAAGCAAATACGTGCCTGGCGTGATAAGTTTTCCGACAGAGGGACGCGCCAATGCACAGCCGCGACTTCCCGTATCGATTCTCTTCACGTTTCCGTCATAAGTCGCACCGAAGATGCCCCGATCGATATCCTCGCGTTTCAATGTCAGCACGGCTATGGGCCGCGCTTCATTCATATATTCTCTCGCGGCGCGCGCCTTGTTGCCCAAGTCGAGCGCTGTATTGATCAGCAGCCCTGTCTTCGAGTCCAGCGACGAGACCGGCGCACGGTGACACGGAATATGAGGCAAATTAAGGAGATGACAATCTCGCGGGGCGATTCCCTCATCAAGAAACTGGTTGTGCGAGATGTAAAGAAAAGAGAGAGAGAAATGGGGGAAAATCGGGTAAAGTAAAATGACGAACTATAATATCTGGCGGCGCTCTCGTATATGCGAGGGTCGCTGCTGTGTCGCGTTATCGGCTGCGGCCACACTAACGGAAGTAAGGTTTGTTTACTTTCGCTGGTGGTGCCAGATAAGAAAAAGCCCGACCTGGGCGAAGGAAGCGGCGAGAGAGGGCGCCCTCCGCAGGGAATATCGCAGGTCACTCCGTGAAAAGAAAGAAAGTATACTGCGAAATCTTTGACTCTCCGTGCTTTACTTTTCATCTTGTTTGTCTTTTCTACGTTAGCGTTTTTATTATTGAGTGTTTTTTTTTTTCCACGGATGGCGAGTGTGTGGCGTATGGCTCGCTGCGGGCTTTTTTTGTCCGATACGAAGGCGGTGTGAAGGTCGCGCCGTACCACCCATAGTCCTCCACGGTTGAAATGTATGGTCTTGTAGCCTTGTAACGTCGTTTTTTTCCCCTTATTTAGCAGCTCTTATTAATTCATCTGAGGAGCGAGCCACTCTTCACTGTACGAGGAGGTCCTTTAAGTTTGCCGCAACGCTTTTTAATCAAAAGAGAGGCAGAGAGAGATAAAGCCTTGCAGACGTTGTTCATGAGGCTAATCGTATGTTTTTAATTACGCGCAGCAGATTACAAGCGCGTGTGACTTGCTGCGCACGCTACGTTTAAATTATCGTTCTTGCGCCTGTATTGAAGAAACTAACAGGGGACAAATCTTACTGACAGCTGACCAGAATGATTTTTTTAATACGCATTGATGACTTACTAAAATGATGCTTTTATTTTTCCTCCTTCGTTATTTTAAACAACGAAGATGAAGAGAAATGCAATTAGCAAAATGAAATGCAATGCCTAACAAGCAATACTCTCAGGAATTGGCCGGTAGCTCGAGGTGCAGGAAGCTTTGGTAGTATAAGGACTGACATCTGACATGAATTGTTTTGCGCATGCCTATCCGCGAGGCGCTTTTATCCACAGCATCTTATTTACCCTTTTCCTTCCCATGGCGTAGGGTAGGAGATCGGATTTTCTATTACGTTTCACTTCTTTGCCATCTTATTCGCCTCTGCCTCCCTCACGCCATTCAACAGCCAAGCTTTGGATAAACAATTATGGAAGGAAAGTGGAGATTTCCAGCGCACTTTTTTCGACAAGCCGACTTAATTTACTGTGTGCAAGGCTGTTGTTATAGTGCCACGCTTGAAGGATAGCGAGAGCGAAGCACCTAGCACGGTGTCTGCACAGAGCGTTGACCGTGAACTAGGAGCAAACAATGACACAAAGAGAGTATAATAAAATAATGACTGTTGGGGTTTAACGTCTCAAAACCACCATATGATTATAAAAGTGACGTCATAGCGGAGGGCTCCGGAAACTTCGACCACCTGGGGTTATTTAATGTGCATTTAAATCTAAGCACACGGACCTCATGCTCGCCGGATTTCGTGCCGACCGGTCGTAGTCCCTGCGACCTCCGACGACAGAGTAGCTCTGGCCGACTGGGCTCGCCCTACGCCATCTCCTGACGCCGACAAGAGCTCTCGCCGAGTGGTGCCCCGTCCTCAGACTCCTGCGACCGTTTCCATCTTCCTTATCTCCTCTTTACTTCCGTCGCTCACTGTCCCTGCGCATCGCTCTCTCCTTCCTCTCTCTACATATACCTTTTAATCCTATCCTTTTAATAACCCCCATTCCTTGTGAGCTACTGTTGAAGTGTCGCACTCTGCTGCAGACGGGGCTCACTTTTATCTTCTTTTTCCTTTAAGAATCACATAAGAGCTTTTCCACCTTGATCGAAAATGCGTCCGTCGCGGCTGGGATTCTATCCCGCGACCTGCGGGTCAGCAGCGAGTGCCTTAGCCACTGTAGAGCACCGTCGCGGGGTGACACGAAAGGAAAAGGAACTTACGTAACAACCATGTTACGCGCAATAAAGACTATGGATGGAGAAATCGATGAATGAGAAAGAAAGAAAGAAAGAAAGAAAGAAAGAAAGAAACTTACACTAAAGCTGCATTTAGTGTCGCGAAAAGAATATAACAGCCTCAGTAACCTAAGAAGGCCGATTTTCCACCCACCCGTGTTCACATATATCAAACATGCAACAAGCTGAGCGGCACATAAATTCAATCAAAAATGCAACACTTTTCGCCCTCTCGGCGACGAGCCTCGCATCGAAGGACCGCGCTAATGGGATTCGGCCGCACTGTGCGAGGAGACAATGTATAAAAGCAACACCGAGATCCGTTACCGCGCGCATTGTCCGAGCCAACAACGAAGAAGCGCAACGACCCAGACGGAAAACACGTGTTGCGACCGCACGCCTATGCCGCGACCACGCCCTTAGGAGCACGCACGCCGATCTGTCACGCCATCTACAGGGGCATTTTTGAATCCGCAGGGAATACAGCTCGCGCCCGTGCGGGAGTGTTTGCCCTCGGTCAACTGCGTCTCTTGATGCTGTCGGCAAATACGAAAGAGAGCGCGCGATCGAAGAACGGTTTAAAGGCGTCACTTCTATACGTGGTCGCGAGGGGGAAGTGGTGTGGGTCGACGAGCATGTATGCAAAAACACTCGTAGCTCGTCGCGCCAAGGGCCGTTACAAACGTGCGCCTGCACATACTCGCTAAAGCGCAGTAAAAAACAAGAGTGAACACGCGTGAAGGCGAACGGCTTCGTATATATTGAAATCTGCAATGTTGCGACCCGAAATGAAAGATTAGTCGCTCGACACAGAAAAAAACAAACAAACAAAAACAGAGAGCACGTGATCACGCGCAGAACATGAATCGCGAGTCTCTGAAAACGTGGGATCGATCATATGCGATTGTTTCAGTAATGCTGTTTTTTTGTTTTTCTGTTTTTGCGATGCGCTTACAATAGGGAGAGATTACAAAGAGCCCAGGACACAGTGTTAACAGAACGATGGTCGCCGTATATACGATTTCACTCGCACTTGCGGGGTTGAACGAAAAGCGCAAGTTTCTGTAGATAAAGATGCGCTCAACTATATGCGACTCTAACGGCACGTTAAAAAAATAAGAAGACGGAAATTCTGGGGAAGATGGAAGCTTGAAAAAAGTTAAAAAAAATTCTTGAACACGAGGTTTCGCTAGAGCCGATGCTTCGAGAAGCAGACTCTTCAAAGCTGCAACTCCTGCCCCGCCACGGTGGTCTATAGTGGCTAAGGTACTCGGCTGCTGACCCGCAGGTCGCGGGATCAAATCCCGGCTGTGGCGGCTGCATTTCCGATGGAGGCGGAAATGTTGTAGGCCCGTGTACTCAGATTTGGGTGCACGTTAAAGAACCCCAGGTGGTCAAAATTTCCGGAGCCCTCCACTACGGCGTCTCTCATAATCAAATAGTGGTTTTGGGACGTTAAACCCCACAAAATAAAAAAAAGCTGCAACTCCTGGCAGCCGTTTTAACAAATTTGTCATATAGTGGCACGTGACCTGATTGGGTTGTTTTTCAGATATCATCCAGTCACACTGCACAGCAGTACATGTACCGCAGACTTAAAAAAAAACAATTAAAAAGAAGTGTATGAGAGTTGAATGCTTCATATGCGAGGCACTGAAGTTTTACACCGCTATGTGCAGCTCTAACTAGAGAGCGCGCACGACAGTGTCTGTTGATGACTGAATATCATTGTTACTTCTGCTGCGCATAAAATGAAAACAAAAACGAAAGCCTCTGGACCCATAACAACAAGGCTAGTAGAGGACACATACAAGGTAGACCGATATGTTGAACGATAAAGCGATATAGACATCAACTATTGAGACAAACCATCGGAACAACACTAGTTCAGACTTCTCGCGTAAAATCAAAGGCTCACAAAGTGATCGAAATTCCTAATTTGTACCTTCGTGAGGCATTCAAAATAGCTTGATGGGTTTAATAAGTAACGCTTAAATGATTAGATGACACCGTAGACATTATTAAAATCCTACTCCAATCACGACTGCCATTTCAATTCCAATAATCTGTTGCTGTATTTCGTTTGGCATATGTACAGACGGGTCCACTGTTAAAGGGGACACCTGCTTGGGCAGCATGTTTCGATTTTGCTACCTTAGGGAATCATAGCGGCTTAGATATGCAGAAAGCTACTGGTGGTTAAAAGTTCCGACTCCTTTTGACAGACTATTGACGTGCATGCAGATTGTTTGTTAATCCACTTGCCCCTAGAGGGCTAGGAATTTCGATGATGTACATTCGAGTGTTCCCTTTAACAGTGGATCATACTGTACATGCATAGGTTAGTCTTACTATATAGTTATGGCAGCTCTTGCCTTTGCGGCCCGTGTAACAGTGCTCGCATTCACGTGCGACCACGCAGGCTGTTCGGCACCAAGTGCTCCAAGTGCCGGCAGGCTTTCTGCCGCACAGACTTCGTGATGCGCGCCCGGCAGCACGTGTACCACCTGGACTGCTTCCGGTGCCAGGCCTGCGAGCGCCAGCTCATGCCTGGCGACGAGTTCGCGCTGCGAGAGGACGGCCTCTTCTGCCGCGCCGACCACGACGTGCTCGACAAGTTCGCCTCCTCCGCGCACGGAGCGCCACCCGCCGCCAACGGCATACACGTCGCTCGTGAGTAGTCTGCTTCTCCTGTGTGTGCGCGCGAGTTTGCACGTGCACTTAAACGCGACCGATGCATGTTCAGTACATGTTCCGACGAGAGTGCGAAAGGAAGCTTGCAGGATACGTGGCACTTCTCCTGCCATTCTCTTCCCAGGCACTGCGCCGTGCTCCCGACCGGGCTGCAGAAATTAGGTGCCTTTTCTCATCGTCTAACCATTACCACCACCACCGCCATTCTCTTCTATAACTTCTCTGCTCCACGAGGAGTAGAAAATCAGCGATTTATATGCGCCTGCCATATAAGTGATCGCCTTTCGACAAAAGGCATTTATCTCCCTCTTTATCTGTCTTTCTCGGTGCAAGGCGCTGCAGGGCCCGAAGAAGAAAGGGCAGTCATATGAATTGAGAAGTTTGGCACGAATAAGGCAGCTATACCACGCTTGAACGATATACGTTTGCTTTATGAAACATATCTAGTCCAAACGTATCTGGCTATATATAATCTCCAGAAGCGTGTATACAGTGGGGGGGGGGGGGGGGGGGGAGGGGCTAGTCGGCAACACATTGAACACGTAAAACTGCGCCTACGTATACAGGACACAAGAAGGAAGCTGTCGACAGGACCAGCGCAAACTAACAATTGATTTCTTTGGATGACGCCTTTTTCCCAAAACAGCAAAGCGAATGCGCACTGTCAAACATAACTGTACATTGTGTATGACAATTAATATATATATATTGTTTCTATATTTTGACAGTGGGCTTCTCCACACAGCCCGTTGTTGATGTTATCCCCGTATTTTGGCACGAACGCACAGGGTGGGTTGGGTTGAAGGTCAGGCTGCCAGACCAACCAACGTACACGTTCCTCACAACCATTCCAATGTGAAGTATATGCTATGTAACATCTCGCTAGTTCTCGCAATTTCACCACGAGTTCACGTTCCCGTCTTCACCGTATACAGTGGTGCACGCAATTCGCCCCTCGACTACGCACCGGTTAGCAATACCCACCGCAGTGTTGGTGACCCGACAGTAGCGGGATCAAAGGCCGCCTGCGGCTGCCGCATTTAGATGAAGTAGAAATGATAAATACCCGTGCACTTGGAGTTAGGCGCACGTTATGGAAATTTCCGGAGCCCTCCCATACGCGGCGTCCCCCATAGTCACATCGTGGTTTTTGGGTCGTTAAACACCAACAAGCGTTATTTCTATTTTTCCCATTAGATCGATAGATTACGCGAAACATGATTTAACGATAAGTAAAAGAGTTTAAGAATAGTTAAGGAGAGGAGTCGCACGAAAAAGTAGCAGCATCCCTCATGTCTTCGACACAGAATATAGTCCTTTAGCACTCCGATTGAGCCCGTACACTCACCAGGGACACAAGTCTCCGGTGTTTCGAAATCAGTTCCCCGGTATGTAAAGCTCATAGACTCCCTTGTTAGGTGCATCACCGCCTTGACAGTGCGTGCAGGCGCCCGAATGAAGTAGTGGCCACATATTCGTACCACTGTTTCCGGCCACGCGATTAGTGCTGAGCAAATGCGACATAACGTCATTCGTCATCGAAAGAACTTGTTGAACGTAAATAGTACTGAAGCCAGCAAACGTAACGTGGCTGAGATTGCAAAAAAGAGAAAAAAAAAAATTAAAATCGAGCAGACTATGCGCTACGTGTTCCTTCCTTGCTTGCCGAGATTAGTGGGAAGGACCTAAGCTGCCGCAAAGTGTGGGTTGCTCCCTTCATTTTCTTTGCAAGATATTGTTTGAGCGAAGAAGTGGTCGCTTTTTTGCTCAGACGCTTGATATTCGCAAGCGTGAGCAGGCTCGCGAATACGACTGGGACAAATAAAGAAAGACTGTCAGTCGCAAGACGGGAAGCCCGCTGTGCCGGCGCTCTGTGCAGGAGAGGTGTCAACGGCGGAAGTCGGTGGGGGAAATTCTCGCTAAAGTGCAGAAAACTCTGTCCTCGCCCATTTCCCCGAGCGCTGGAGTCCTGCGGGAGGTAATTAGGCTAATGGCAGGGCGGGAAGACGACGCTGTCGCCAACGGGGCCGATTCTCCGACCGAGACTCGCTAAAGACGGGGGCGGCCCGCAGCTAGGAATGGGACAATTAATTGCTCCTCCGACCTCCTGCGCACCCTGCGACGACGGCAGCGCTCTGCGTCGAGTGCGACGTCCCCGGTAGGTGGCGCCACGGGTGCCTTTCGTACTTGGAGTCAGCTTAGCTTCCTTGCTTGTGTCTATAGATAGCCTTGTGGTGCAGGCGGAGGCATTTAATTTATGTTGTTTTTTAAGCCCCAATATACGCTTTGTCTATAGATAGCCGTCATAGCTTCTATACAGTTTATATAACTTGTGTAGCTTGTATTAAATTCCGTTTATACTCTATCGCTTGATATAGATTCCTTACTCAATATAGCTCCTTAGTTTATGCATTTTCATTAGCCTATATATAGCATTTTAGAGTATTTATAGGTTCTATAGTTCATACAGCTTTTTTGGTCTATAATCATAGGCGTCCGCAGGGCTTTACGATAAGGGTATGAGGCACGCTTCAACGCAGCAATATTTGTGTTATACGGCGTTCTGCAGTCGGACATGTGTACTATATGCGTGCATAGGCGCGACATGCTGCACACAGCGCTGCTTAACTTCGCGAAATTTAACTACAGATACATACACAGTACATAGAATGGTACGGTCTCGAATTCGCCTAGACTTGAAGAAAGAACGACAGAAACTGATACGCAAGAAGCCAATCAATGAGCTAGCACTGAGAGGGAAAGTACAGGAATTCAGAGTGTCGCTGCAGAACAGGTACTCGGCTCTTATTGAGGAAACCAACCTTAGCGTAGATACAATGAATGATAATCTGACGAGTATTATTACGGAGTGTGCAGTGGAAGTTGGAGGCAGGGTAGTTAGACAGGACACTGGCAAGCTTTCCCAGGAAACGAAGAACCTAATTAAGAAGCGTCAAATCATGAAAGTGTCAAGTACAACAGACAAAATAGAACTGGCAGAGCTTTCGAAGTTGATTAATAGACGTAAGGTATGCGATGTAAGAAGGTATAACATGGAGAGAATTGAACACGCTCTTAAAAACGGAGGAAGCGTCAAAGCAGTGAAGAGGAAACTTGGGATAGGCAAAAGTCGGATGTATGCACTAAGGGACAGAGAAGGCAAAATAACTACCAATATGGATAGGATAGTTAAAATAGCGGAAGAGTTTTACAGAGATCTGTACAGTAGTGAAGACAACCACGACCTTAATACTATAAGAACTAGCAGTAACCCAGATGGCACCCCACCAGTAATGATAGAAGAAGTCAGAAAAGCTTTGGAGAGCATGCAAAGAGGCAAAGCTGCTGGTGAGGATCAGGTAACATCAGATCTACTAAAAGATGGAGGACAGATTGTGTTAGAAAAACTAGCCACCCTGTTTACGAGGTGTCTCCTGACGGGAAAAGTACCAGTGTCTTGAAAGAACGCTAACATCATCTTAATACATAAGAAAGGAGATGACAAGGACTTGAAGAATTACAGGCCGATCAGCTTGCTCTCTGTAGTATACAAGCTATTTACAAAGGTAATTGCTAACAGAGTTAAGAAAACATTAGAATTCAATCAACCAAAGGAACAAGCAGGATTTCGAACAGGCTACTCAACAATTGACCACATTCATACTATCAGCCAGGTAATAGAGAAATCCTCGGAGTATAACCAACCACTATACATAGCCTTCATAGATTACGAGAAGGCGTTTGATTCAGTAGAAATATCAGCCGTCATGCAGACACTGCGGAATCAGGGCGTAGATGAAGTATATATAAACATTCTGGAAGAAATCTACAGGGGATCAACTGCTACCATAGTGCTTCATAAAGAAAGCAAGAGAATACCAATCAAGAATGGTGTAAGGCAGGGAGACACTATCTCTCCCATGCTATTTACCGCGTGCTTACAGGAGGTTTTGAGAAGCCTAGAATGGGAGCAGTTAGGGATAAGAGTTAATGGAGAATACCTCAGTAACCTGCGCTTCGCCGATGGCATCGCATTGCTGAGTAACTCAGGGGACGAATTGAAACTCATGATTACGGAGTTAGACAAGAAGAGCAGAAAGGTGGGTCCTAAAATTGATCTGCAGAAAACGAAACTAATGAACAACAACCTCGGAAAAGAGCAGCGCTTCGAGATAGGTAATAGTGCACTTCAAGTTGTAGAAGACTATGTCTACTTAGGGCAGGTAATAACCGCAGAGCCGAACCACGAGATTGAAGTAACTAGAAGAATAAGAATGGGGTGGAGCACATTTGGCAAGCACTCTCAAATTATGACAGGTAGATTGCCACTATCCCTCAAGAGGAAGGTATATAACAGCTGTATCTTGCCAGTACTTAGCTACGGAGCAGAAACCTGGAAACTTACAAAGAGGGTTCAGCTTAAATTGAGGACGACGCAGCGAGAAATGGAAAGAAAAATGGTAGGTGTAACCTTAAGAGACAAGAAGAGAGCAGAGTGGATTAGGGGACAAACGGGGGTTAAGGATATCATAGTACAAATAAAGAAGAGGAAATGGACGTGGGCCGGGCATGTAGCGCGTAGACAGGATAACCGCTGGTCATTAAGGGTAACTAACTGGATTCCCAGAGAAGGGAAGCGGGTTAGGGGGAGACAAAAGGTTAGGTGGGCAGATGAGATTAAGAAGTTTGCCGGTATAAATTGGCAGCAGCAAGCACAGGACCGGGTTAACTGGCGGAACATGGGAAAGGCCTTTGTCCTGCAGTGGACGTAGTCAGGATGATGATGATGATGACATACACAGTGTTCTTCCTTGGGATTCCATTCGTACTCTGGGTAATATGCTCGACGATGCAGACCTATTAAGACGCACAGGTGATAATGCATAACCACACGGCACCATTTCACCTTTGGTTGCGTCATGACAGTACCGTATCATGAAAATGACGAAGCTTACGGTGATACGCATACTCACCTTTAA